GTCAGAAAGTTTCAGGTACGGCACTATTCCCACCTCTGGTTCCCATCGCTGTAACTCCTGTGTAGCTAGGATCTACTTACAGTTTGACCTCCAATAAAAACTTAACCAGTGAAGGCTAAGTTTGTCCCGGTGAAAGTTAAACTGTCATTGGACAGTAAGAACCTAAGAGGAGGTCGAAATCAGCCAGTAGCTTAGCAGGCAGAAAATAGGAAAGGACAAAAATATGCAGCCTTCGAAGCTCTAAGAAAAGACCTCTTAAAATCAATACATCCATATACCCTAATTTTATGTAAATGTTCTAGGTATGGGAATCCTAAGTATGGATAACAATTAAGACGATTTTATTTGAGAAATTTATGCTTGAGGTGTGAACCAAACTCCCGACCTTTTGCCGGACGACTGCTCATCCACCGAACTCAAGAGACATTGTTTGCCCTGACGAATTTTAAACTGTAAACCACCTGAGGCAGTCGCTTTTTACAAGTGAAATATCATGTTCGAGACATTTTTTACATTATAAATGCAAACAGCCGTGAAACACTTTTTATATGCAAAATGCTTACAAGCGCGGCAAAAGCCACGAGTACAAGACTTTTTTGTACTTCCAAAGAGTGCCTTCAGCAAACATTAACCCTTTCGCCAATAGAAGCTACTCTATTCCCAAGTGTCATTGTGCCGAAAAGGTCTCATTTGTAGGCTGACGACCCGGATTTTTATAGGATCTTATCCTTTAGGTAGACTTGGATAGTGTAAAAAAATCCTAAAGCCTTACTTAACACGACATGCTTTATTCTTGTGTTATTCCATGGTTAATTGACAGAGAATATTGGGCGTGGGACGTCCACCTACAAGGTGGACCGACGACCTGATAAAGGTAGCCGCTACCAGCCGTGCGATGTAGAAGTCATTAGGGGAGGCCTATGTTCAGCAGTGGACGTCCTATGGCTGAAATGATGATGATGATGATTTGGCTTGTGGACCGACGACCCCAATAAGGGTTGGATTAAGGCGCTAGATGAAGGCCGCTACCAACCGAGCGATGTGGAAATCTTTGGAGGAGGCCTATGTTCAGCAGTGGACGTCCTGTGGCTGAAATGATGACGATGATAGGGCGTTCTAAAGCGATTGTACTAAATAGTTGTGAAACTATATGAGTTTGGTGTCGGCCGTTTTCTTGTAGTGGTTCGAAACGGACTACTATTCCGGAGGTAGCAGGTTCGATTCCCGCACAGTACAAACATTTGTGTGCATGAACATATTTGTTTGTATTGGACTGGGTGTTTTCTATGTATAATAAGTATGTATTTACAAAAAAAGTTGTGTTTATATCCGTTGTCTAGTACCCATAGTACAAGCTTTGCTTAGTTTGGGACTAGAAGCGCAGTGTAAAATGTCTAAGGATATTTATTTATTTACTATTTATATTTATTCAATATACTTCGCATGCTAAATACGTNAAATCTAACATTATGTTGTTAATTATTTTGCTACAGGCCTTCTCAAAGAAAATTCTCTTCCACTTTGTACCCGGTTAATTAAAACAAAGTTACATAGCATCTTACAGAGTCATAACGCAGTGGTTATCCTTTCTTTGTGATCTATACTAATATTATAAAGCTGAATAGTTAGTTTGTTTGTTTTCTTGAACGAGCTAATTAATCTCGAGAACTACTGGTCCGATTTGAAAACTTCTTTTTGTATTGGATAACCCATTTATCGACGAAGGCTTTAAGCTATACTTATAATAACATCACCCTAAAACCAATAGGGGCGGAGCAGTAAAGAAAAATGTGCAAAAATGGGAGAAATATTATTCAAACTATTTTCACGCGTAACGAAGTCACAGGCACGGCTAGTATTTTATAGTCAGAGTGAGACGAGAAAAACGAAGATGCAAAGTGGGGCCTTTAGAAATAAACGGCGTCATAATAGTTTACACGGCGTAACCATTTTAAACGCAGCTGAAGTGCACTTATGATGGTTACTTCGTTTCGCTTCACAGCAAACGAGTGCAGTTGTCATTTTGTGATAATTTCGCTCAGTGTTCGGCCGGACTTGCCCCATTGTTCGTTCGTATCCCAAATTACCACATTGCATTTTTATAGCCTTCGTAATTCGTTCCCCTTGCGGTCGGGTCGGGCACAATGAAGGACTTTTTTCCAGAATTGGAAATGGATTATTTCGCGGTAGAGGATTGCTTTAAAATCTGTTTTTAATTGTTGACGACTTATTAATTTACTTTTGTTAAATACTTAGGTGAAGGGTTTACGAAACAATTTGAAACAAAGTTTATTGATGGTTACATAAATAAAAGCTTTGAGATTCTACTCAACTTTGGTAATAAAATAACTCTGTAACTGTAGTATCGAATTTGACTTTGCAATCATTTTGGACTTAGATATGTCTTCGTCAAAAGCCTGTCAAAACGATTATGTACCTACAATGCTAATGTAATTATGGTGTGTACCTATCTTACAATAGTTTCAAAAGGAAAAATTATCACCATAACTACAACCTTTGCACACGCCTTCCTTCCCCTATTTCCGCTTTTGATCATCTCAGGAAAACGAAACTGCGCAGGTTGGGTTGGCTCCCAAACATTTGGGCAAGGTTTGAGTTGGCCAATACACACCATTAGTGTATTGCCTTCTAGACTCTACCTTGGTGCAAATATTACCAATATTTGGAAGCAGACTGCCAATATAAGACAGCAAATTACGATATTTCTGCTATTGAATTACGTAGNGTAGTTAGGTTTATTTATTCTACAAATATGATTATTCTGATATAATATAGAGCACATGAGGACATAGTGGACGGAATCAGGGCGATATTTACCTTCATTTATTTTCTTATTATGTGTTGTGGCAGTCAGGTCGAAATTGCTTACAAGTCATGGGTAGCTAGGGTTGCCATACACGCATAATTAGACTGAAGTGTACATTTTAATAGTATGATTCATAAATTATGCAATATAAATCGCCTTACAGTATCTACTGATGTGATTGTTGTTAGCAAAATGTTGATAATCAGGTAAGGACTGATGAAAATTCTTCTTGAAATGAATACAGATTTCAAATTGAAGACACTCTTACAGGCTAAGCAAAAATTAAAATTACATAACTTATTCCAAAAATGTATAAACACTATTACACTAGTCGTATAACTTTCTGCTAGTGAAATATAATAGCAGAGAATCTACAATAGTCATTGTCATTTTTTTTAAGAAAAGACAAGAATAAGATGCCATGATTCTGTGATTCGGAGGTGACTGGACTCATAATACTTTACCGCTCTGCTAGAGATTCAAATGCCAATAACGTTAACGAAAAAGAAAAGTAACATTATGTACGTTTCCCAAGTATAATAATTCAATTAATCCTAATACAACTATACCTATACCTAAATAAATAAGGCTTGTTTGCTCTAAGCCCGCAACCGTAATGCATTACCCATTTAATTTATTATCGTGCGAATAATTTGCGAGAGGCAGCCCTAATGAGGCTTTGCCGCGGGCAGGCTCTGCAATTAGCGGAACTTGATTTGGCCCTTACTGTGCAGGGGATGTTTGTATGGCCTTGGTGATGTCACTGGTAGGCGGTTATCGATATGTAGTTTATGGGAAACAACTGAAAACATTTCAATAATACCTACAACAAACAGATAAATGCCTTTTGACGTTTCAATTTCCGAGAGAAGTGTCTTTAGTGTTTTCATTGCGGTAAAATAGTAAGTAGTAAGTATGTGTTTTTCAACGATTTCCTCATTCACCAAGAAAACCGCCTAAAAATTGAATGTTTTTGTTCTTGGGTCTTTGAAACCTACATGTTTAATAACTAACCTCCTTACTAATAAAAAGTTACACAGTTGTTGAACACTGTTTTAAAATGACATTTAATACTAAACGTCACTTTAAAACACTGTTCAACGAGCGTGTAAGTTTTATTAGTAAGGGCGTAAATGTATTATACTCGTAACTGGGTAGGTGATAACAAAATATTAAATTACTTTTATCGACAATCGATATCTAACAGCCTTAACCCCATCCCTGCTTTCAAGTTTCTTAAGCATTTCTAACCTTGGTCAAATGGATTGCATTTGAGACGATCTTGAGGACGGGTATGTGTAATTAAATAATTACATGAAAGCCTTGTCAGATGGATGGAAGTTCTGAAGTGGGATAGGAATCTTTGTCTATATGCGCTAAGAAGAAAAAACATTAGTTTGTAGCTCTATCAATTTTTTAGCAATTGGCCCTTTCTTTGTTGTTTGTTTGTTCTATTGAGTATAGTCCGTTTTTTTCTAGGTTTCGTTGTTTTAGAAATGTTTGTAACTTTTATAGTAACAACAATATAAGCGAAAGAAAACTTTATCCTTACAAACCCAAAAGTAAATGTAAAATCCCTTTACTAGGTTCTTGTTAAACCTTGCCTTTAACTTGCCTTGCCATAACTTAACGGCAGTGGCCGTCACATGCGTCACATTTGCGTACGTCGTTAGCATAATACTTATACATCATTAGATTCAATCTCACCGCCCGTTAACGTGGGTGCAGCAACCACAGCCTACTGGTTGTAACGGTTGACAAATAGTACAGTTGCTACAAAGTTTTCGAAAATATAGTTATTTATTTGTAGAGGCTGAATAGTGACTTTTTATACCTTTGTTTCAGAGGTATATCCAAAGTCAGATATTTGAAATTAAATGTACTTAATAGGTACACAAAGGTACACCTAAACACCCTAGCTGTCTTTTTATGACCGCCTGTTTATTACTTCCATGAAATGCACATTGCTGCCTAGATTTCCGCCCAAGGGGATATGCTGGCTAGTTTTCCGCCCAAAGGAATATGCTGCCTAGCTTTCCACCCAAGGGATATGCTGATTAGTTTTCCGCCCAAAGGAATAAGCTGCCTAGCTTTCCGCCCAAGGAGATATGCTGCCTAGTTTTCCGCCCAAAGGAATAAGCTGCCTAGCTTTCCGCCCAAGGAGATATGCTGCCTAGTTTTCCACCCAAAGGNGTGCAACTGCACTTAATAGTACTATGTAAAACGGTACAGTCGTGTGGTACAGGGTGTGAAGCTGAGCGTCGTCGATCTTGATCGGAGTCTGCATCATGATTTTGTCTTGTATACTATGTAGTTCTTGCAGGTTGATCGAGTTTAAGTTCATATGAGATGATATCTTGACTTGTCCTTCTACATCAAATGGTATCTCAGTCAGTTTGAGAGGCTGTCCTTTTACCTCATCATTGTCGTTTGTTATAGTGAATTCCGCAGTTTTCAGGTGGCAGCCAACGGGGATGGTGATGAGATAGCTTCCCTGGAGCGTATTGTAGTCTTGTCTTGAACAGATGAGCTGGACCTTGGTGGGATGTGGGAACGACAGGACATAATGCTGGTCGTCCAATTNTAGTTTTCCGCCCAAAGGAATAAGCTGCCTAGCTTTCCGCCCAAGGAGATATGCTGCCTAGTTTTCCACCCAAAGGGATATGCTGCCTAGCTTTTCGCCCTAAGGTATTCGTTTATCAATGTTATTTGTACAAGTAACGAGATTTGTGTCCTTGTTTAATAGTAAGTACCAACTCGATATTTAACTTGCTCTGCCCTCACGAAAAAAAAACTTATTTTCTCATTGTGCTACACTGTGTCTTTCACTGTTTTAATCCGTCCCGTTGTTGTGGGCTGGCTAATTTGCATGCTAATAAAGTGCGTGAGCGGAAAATTCGGTCCCCACAAATATGGACTTAATAATACTCGTAACGTGCGCCAGGTGACTTTCCGGGACAATAAAAAAGATTGGTGCATCTATAATTTAAGGAAAACAGGATGCTTTAGTAACCATTGCTCATAACGTGTATTATTATTGACTTTCGGAGAGCAATTTTGTATCCAATGACTTCCTCCTAAGGGCGTCTAAAGAAGAATAAAGACAAAAAAGAAGTGGTCTAATACAGAAACAATAAAATTTATTTATGCATGAAACCATAATGCAAACCACTATTAACTGTAGTCATTTAATCAGGGGGAAAATGCAGTTCGACATTGCACGAATACGAAACTAGGTAGATAAACTTGTACCGCAGGTAGGTACATACCAGTAAAAGTCCTTATACTTGGTAATCTTTAAGCATGTCTAGGTTTAGATCAGTGGGTATATGTATAACAAACAATTTATCAACATATTCAGTCGTACAACGGCTCGTCTAATGTAAAAGATACGACGGACTGATAAAAAGCCGGTTTGCCACTTGCCACTGAAGCAGAGACACATTGTAACAGATATCTTTGTTCCAGTTTAAAATGCCTCATACGTTATAATCCGTCAAGCGATTCAATTAATCAGCACAATACGGCACAAAACAGAATTTTCAGGGTCTCTGCCAGCTTACATGTTACCGATCCGCTGTCAGTGCGAATAAATGGAAATTAATGGTTTCGCACCAGCACCCGTTGCTGCTTGGACATAAAGCAAGGACAAAGAGTAACTACACTTTTTGATCTTTATCAAAACCAAACTGTGTGAAGTCGGTAGCTTTGAAAGTCTAAACAAGAGGTTAAGTAAGTACAGGCTTTGTTTTCAGTTTACTATTATTAACTTAGCATGATTTTACATTCATTTGCTGTATAATAGTGCTCACCTAAACTTTGAAATATAGTCAATGAAAAAATTGAGACATTTGGAGGAATTAACACGAGAGTAAAATGTTACGTCAAGACTGTGTCGACTCTACGCAGCGCAGACAATTTCTAACCAAATAGAAACCTACAGGATTATTTGATAAGAACTTATTGGCACAATTTTTTTTTATTGGCAAATTCTTTGAAGTTTTCAAAAATACTCCTAAATTAATTGCACGCAACTCTCACCTACTCTTTGAATTTACACTGTGACGCTTCTTACCCTCGTCAACCCCGGAGTTGAGTAGCTAATATAACGTTACTACTTGTAGAATTAGCGCAAAAATACCAAACAATTGTTTGATGGAGGTTAGCTTTATCCCGCCTAGATTATCCCGCTGCTTTAACTTAGGTCTCGAGGCCAAAGACTCTATCTTTCGGATGGCTGGTTTTGATGCGGGTTTGCTTCTGTATTTTATTTTTAGGGCACTTGACATAACTATTTCTTTTTATTTGCTTGACATGAGATGAGTATTGTGATTTAGAAGTTATTGTATTTTATAGCAAACATACGGTCTTTATGAGGACAAAGTTAATTGAAGTTTTTGTCACTGAAACAAATTGAAATCTTGTTCAAATTGCTTCCACTCACATTATTGACTTAACTACGATCTATTTACAGATATAGAAACTATTTCAGTAGATAGTGCATCAAATTACCAACATATTTTAAAGTCAAGTATTTAATGCTTCCTAATGTTCATTTATGAAATCTTTGTACCCCGATGATAGAAATAGGACAGTATAATTCCGACAAAATACAAAAAGATTTAACAGACAATACATAAATATCTAGTCTAGACAGCAAATAATAAAAAATGTCTCTCACATGGGACCAGCATTTCCAATTTATTGTGGAAAAAAGCTTAATTGACAGACAAGCCATACACTGGAATGGATTTGGTTTTATTTAAATAATTAATCAGAAAATCTTTTAGAAGTGTTTTCATTTTATGTGACATTAATGTACTCGTAGGTAAACCCTGTTACATCTTTTGTAATTGTAATAGGTGTTATTTTGGAACAAAATTGATTACTCCAATGCTGTCTGTCGATTCTACATTGTTTTGAAGCTCCGTGGGCGTTAGAGTCACGTAACCAAAGCTAGTTAAGAGTCATCGTGGGCGAAGGAGTTAATCCCCGGATTCCGGCTCGTCGCCCGGACGGAGGGCGACGGGAGCGGCCATACTTTGACAACTGGGGGCTTACGCCCGTATTCACAAACGATGCTTGCTAAGGCAAAGCAGCAAATCTAACGCACTGCGTTCAATAGAGCTCTATGATTGGTTCATGTGAAACCCAGTGCGTCCACGCGCACTGTAAGACCTCATAGTAATGTTTGTGAATACGGGCGTTAGTGTGAGTTTACATAAACGTATTCGATATGGAGTGCGTAAAAATGACATTAAATGTATGACAGATTGTACGGCGCCCCTAGCGGAAACTTTCAAGAACTAACATCTTCTTTTTTATATTCGCAGTCGATATCGAATACGTTTAATATAAACTCACACTAAGCCCTGAGCCCCGATTACGGTAATTTTTAACGTCTCCAATCCAGACGCGCTTCATCGACAAACAGCTGACGTACGCTGTTTTGATCATTACGCTGACCAATCGTATCGCAGAATCGATGAAGCGCGTCTGGATCGGAGACGTTAAAAATTACCGTAATCGGGGCTCAGAGCTCGTATAGGATTGTGGCCGGGTCTACTACCCCAGATGTATTAATATAGTTATTTGTAGTGATGAAAGAACTAGTCTTTTAAGTCTTTTAAAAGAAACTCGACTCGTTTTGACGACTTATGAGGCTTCACAACTCAATCGAGTCTTTAAGTCTTGAGTGTTTTAGGAGTCTTCGACTATGACTTGAGTTTTATTTTTAGACTGAGTCAATTTAAAAAGACTCCAAATTTTTAAACGACTCGACTCGTTGGAGTCGTGAGTCTCGTGAGTCGTAAGGCGCGCTAATATGCTGTATGAGATATTAGATGAATGTGGATATTCCTTTCATCTCTAGTTATTTGCCTATGATCGCGTCGGCGATGGCGATCTGTGTGCTTACCATGAGTTTACGTTAGGTGTGCTCGCTAGCGACTGCGTAAAAAAATTGACATCAATTGTATGACATATTGTGCAGCGCCCCTAGCGGCTACTTTCAAGAAACAAAATCTTCATAGAGATTTTTGACGTACTCGCTAGCGAGCACACCTAACGTAAACTCAAATTATGGTAGGTACACTGCACGCGTTAGTTTGGTTTTAAGTTTTAATGAGACTCTCGAGTCATATAGAAAATCTATGAGCAAAATGTCAATAATAAGAAGCTTAACGAAAAACTCGATAACAGGACCGTTTCGGTAATTTCTTTTTCAATTTCATATAGGTACCTTGAATACCGAGGAAGGTTTTCGTTCGTTCGTTCGTTCGTTTCAGCCAAATGACGTCCACTGCTGGACAAAGGCCTCCTCCAAGGTTTTCCACAATGCACGGTCCTGCGCTGCCCGCATCCAGGCTCTTCCCGCGACCTTTACGAGATCGTCGGTCCACCTAGTAGGAGGCCTGCCCACGCTACGTCTTCCAGCCCGTGGTCGCCACTCGAGAACTTTTCTGCCCCAACGTTATGAACGTAACGAGGAAGGTTTTATGAGAGGAAAATTTGAAAAATTGCCCGGAAAATCTTGAAAGACAAAATCCACTCGGGCAGACGCTAGAAATTAATAAGGTAAGTAGATATAATATGTTTTTAATGACACTCATCATTTTGGCATAGTACAATTTTGGAAAATAATTTTCATATTTCCAGGATTACATCAAAATTGAAGTAAAAAAATTGAAAATGAAATCTCGAATATTCACGACAGGCACATAAATAAACTCATGTAACTCCTTAGGTAATAAACGTCGCGTTAAGACCCGTATCTTACTATTTTAGTTAGGCCATAATTATTATCTTAAATATCTGATTGTGAAATCTTTTTTGATTAAGAATCGATTTGTTTTTTTTCTAAGTTTCGGTTCTAAAATAAACTTTTCTCAGAGCGACATTTCGGATGATAAAATCGTCCTCACTCTCATTGGTATTGGTGCCAAACTCCCAGCAAAAGAACACAGCTGCAGTTTTCCTTCCATTTCGTATCCAATCTTCATTAGACGTTAATTCCCCGTTGTGCATCGAGAACAAAACGGAACTACGGATTCAGTACAAAATGGAACAACGAATTCCGTGTTCCTATCGCTTATTTCCATACAAAACTATCCTGTACACGGCAACCTATTCCCATTGCTTTATAATTGTAATCGACCGCACTAACAAGTGGTCCTACTCTGAAAAACGATAAAGATATTCGTGTTAATAATGTCTCCTTTACGCAGCTTGCCACCGGGAGGGTGTTGTGAACTCTTCGATCGTCTTTCTAGTAATTACCTACATTTCTTCCCTTATTAGGTAAATAGGAATCACAACGCAAAACTATTTTTGTCTGAAACTGTGGGCATTAAATATTTCAGGATCTTCGGGACGCCATTATGTACAAGAGAGGTTGATATACCTAGCTGATTTTGAATCGTGTTTCATAGTAGACCACCTTGCCTTGGAGTTGGACACAATAAGCGACCAGGTTCCCAGAGGAATCGGTGCACTCAATATGAGGGGACGGAGTTTGGAACTCAAAGCTTTGTCTTTGTTTACCGATACCAACCCCGTTGACAATGTAACAAAAATGGTTAATAATATGAGCGTAATTCTGTCTATCTACGTATTCTCAGTCTCTCTGAATTGGACTCTAGTATGGGTGGGATATGTTAATATAAATAACTTCTAAAAGTAACTTTAACATCATCTTTATTTGGTGGATTTTCTAAAATCTAAATCATAGTGACTATAACTAATCTTTATGTGTTGAGATCTGCGTTTGTATTAAAATACAAAAAATAAACACTGAGTTGTCACAATCCCAGCAATCTTAATGTTTCTTCCTCTAAGTAGTAGCCCAAAAAATTATAAATCACTGTCACACGCCGCAACGTTTTGCATAGCGCACAAATATTTTGACGCCCGCACAAACACATTTACTGTCGCGCTCCGCCCGAGAGCGCATTAATAATGGCACACCCTGTATCGTCACGAGGCACTGAACAACGTGTGTTCTAAAAAAACCTGGCATTTTGTCATTTGAACTTCACTTTTAACAAAGTTTTGGCTATCATATTATCGATATAAAAATTTAGAAGGGCACAAAGTGTAAGAACGAGTAAATATTACAAAAGTTTATGAAAAGAAAAGCTAAGTGAAAAACATTTAGGCAAAATTCCAAAACAAAAAATAGCTACCACACAGCATTTTCTCTTATCTCACTCCCACTCTAACAACAATAGAAAATAATTCAAGACTTATCTCACAAGGAAAAAGTTTTTCATCAAATTAGGCCGAAAATCTCTTTGCAAAACAAACG